TTTTTGTTAGATTCAATAATCACTTAATTATATATTTAGTTTAAATCTTTGGTAAATAATATTTCTGATGGAGCTTTAATATAATAGTATACTAAAATTTATGATAATAACAAAAACCTTTAGTAGATGTATTAACTCGATTATATATTCTAAAGTTATAACCAGCCATTTTACTAGGTAAAAAATTTAAATATAGTCTTGTATGTAAAATTGACATAGCTTATAGTAAAAATAAACCTATAATAAGCTAGCATGTTCTTCATATCTCAATAGATAGATGTATTTGTAGGTTATCTATTATTATTTTTATATAATCTTTTTGTTCCATTACATAATTCAATTAGAATAAATATTATTAAAAAAAACCATAATTACTCGTTATCCTATTAATCATCATAATTATTTGTTAAATACAAATATTATTTCCATAAAATATATAAAGTATTTGTTAAAATTTTAAGATCCTAAATTTTGAAGTAATTAATTTTTATCATAAATTGTGTATACTTAGAAGATAAATCGAATTATGAAAAAATAACAACTGAATTTTAATGATATTAAAAATGTCTAATTTATCAATAATAAGTAAAAAATCTTAGAGTCTCAATTTATCTTTCTCTTAAGAAAATCTGAATTATTGATTATGCTGAACAAATATTACAATAGTTCTTCACAGAATTAAAAATTTCAAAATCTTTTTTCATTGCTATTGACTATGAGAATTGAAATCATATAAAGTTTAAAAGATTAAACATGAAAAATCAGAAATATATTTCTTTAAAGAAAAAGCTATTTATAAAATTTATTTTAATTATATAAAATTTGGTTAAAAACTTAATGATGAAAGGTATCCAAGAAAGCGTATTTTATAAATTAACAAGTTTAAATAGCTTAATTTCTTAAAAAATAATTAATATCATTAAGACTTATATCTACTCCATTGAAGAGAACTAAATAAATCTATTTATGAATGAAATTCAACACAATATGATATCGTATTACTCATTTGATTACATTTAATGAGAATGAATAATATCAAGGTTACTTGTATCCTTTCAAAATTGGGTTGAAGATTTATAAGAAACCAAAAATGAAATTATTGGTTAGGCTTTGATTATAATTAAAAGTCTAAATGACAGCCATTTCCATAATATCCATAATTGAGTAGACCAATATCTGATAAGTTTTTTAGAGTATTATTCTTCTCCATTCATCAATTCTCTTTTCCACATTAAGTTAAATAATAATTATATATTTTCTCAATTATATTTATTCGAAATATCTATATATAGTACTTTTTTGCCTTGTAGTTTTAATTATACTCATCATCATCTACTAATTGTTATGTTTCAATTTGTAAAACAAATCCTCTTATCAATTAAATATTATTGATAATTCCTTTTAAGCTACTATGTAAAAGATTTTCGTAATTGATTTCCTCAAAATTCTCATACAATTAACCTTTGTTTAAGTTTATTCTATTTTTTTAAGGTCTTTTTTGAGATTCCACTTATGTGGGCTCCTCATTTTTATCATAATTTTTCTAATACATTAACTCAATATTAATTTTTAGTTAGTTCCAAATCTACACATATATTCCTTCCTTATTATCTCTTTCAATCTATGTATTTTA